CCTTGTTTAGGGAACCAAGGATTAAATTTACAGTTGCTTGTACAAAATTATAGAGCTGTTGCTTTGAACATTTTGCTCCGTTAGATTTTAACAAGTATTTCAGTAATTGTATAAAGTGCTTTGTCTTAGAGGACTGGGAAAATTCCATATTAATTCCACTCTCTCACTTACCGTCATGAACCCTTGAGTAAGAGGCATGGATTCCTGCCCCTAATTTCTTTCTTTTTTCTGCAGATTTTTTTTATTTAATTAGAAACAAGATTGTTTTACATGACAACCCCAGTTCCCTTTCCCTCCCCTCCTCCCCGACCCCCCCCAACTAAAGCCCCACCTATCACATATCCTTTCTGCTCCCCCTGGATGGTGAGACCTTCCATAGGGTGTCATCGGAGTCTATGGTATCCTTTGGGATAGGGCCTAGGCCCACCCCTCTGTGTCTTGGCTTAGGGAGTATTCCTCTATGTGGAATGTCTACCCCTGATTTCGATTTAAAGAATTTTTTTCTTATTGTCTTAGCCAGTGTTCTAGTGCTGTGACGAGATGAGATGCCATGACCATGACAACTCTTACAAAGGAAAGCATTTGATTGGGGGCTGGCTTACAGTTGAAGGTTTAGTACATTGTGTCGTGGCAAGAAGCATGGCAGCACACCGGCACACATAGTGCTGGAGGAGGAGCTGAGATTTCTACATCTGGACCTACAGTTAGCAGGAAGAGAGACTGTGGGCTTGGAATGGGGTTTTGAAACCTCAGAGCCCACCCCTAGTGACTCACTTCCTCCAACAAGGCCACACTTCCTAATCCTTTCAAATAGTCTTTCAAACACTGGTGACCAAGTGTTCAAATCTATGGGGCTATGGGAGCCATACTCATTCAAACCACCACACTCACCTTCTCCAAGGGTTGAGCCCCTTACATTGGGCACTAGTTGTGGGGGTTTCTGTAGATGCTATAGCCACAGCCAGTAGAGGAACTATGTGCCAGCACTAAGAAGGTAATCTGGTTTAGTATCGCCTAGGTAGCCAGACTGGTTCAAACTTCTGACCCCAAGCAGTTATTTTTTTTAACATATTTAAATACAGTGCAATTTTGGAAAAAAAGAAGTTTCCTAATGGCATTTATCACAAACTTAAGTCATGACTACATCAAAACTCCTTTGCAAAATGCATGGAACCTCTTTCATGAGAATGGGTTCTATTGACTAAGAAACAATGCTTGGAGTCTGTGAAATTTGGGTGAAACTTGGCCTTACAGAATAGCAGAGATCACCAGGCTATAAACAACATTCACTCCCAACTTTCTGGGTGGAAAACATGTAAATTCCTTCTGTTGAAGAGAAAAGCCTGAATGTAAAACATTCCTGATTTCTCTAGTGGTATCTATCTGTGAGTACCAGGACCTTGTGCCCTCCTGAAGAACAGAATTAATTTGTATACAGCTGTCAAGGCTGGAAGACAACTCCAGTGCTTAAAACCACATACTGCCAGCCTGTGATGGTGGCATACACCTTTAATCCAGCACACAGGAGGCAGAGACAGGCAGATCCCGGTGAGTTCCAGGACAGCCAGGGCTACACAGAGAAACTCTGTCTCAAACAAACAAACAAACAAACAAAGCATGTGCTGTTCTTGCAGAGGACTTGAGCTCCGTTCCCAGCATCCATGTTGGGAGGGTCACAGCTGCCTGTAACTTGTAGCTCCAAGAGATTCAAACCTTCTGACCTCTTCTGGCATCAATGGGTTGCTGCACTTACATACACAAGCACATAATTAAAAATAAAATCAATCTTTAAAAATACACAAAATCACACCTCTTACCTCACCAGAGACAAGAGTTTATTTTAGAATCAAAAATGAGTGATCCTGACTTTGAAACACTGATTTACAGTAGCCCAAATTCCATGTTTCAATATGGTAACAATTTCATGGAGCTCCTATGGTAAAAATCAAATTAATGCATGAAAGCACTTGAGGTACACCAGTGGAGACATCGGGTAGGCAGTTTGAAGCAAGACCTCAAGTATGAGTCCCCACATCATCTGATATAATTCTTAGCCATTGGTTACTAGAAGCTTGTGGTCTGATACATTAACTAACCAATAATTAGCCAAGGCATCATGTGATAGTTACAAGGCTATCAGATAAGACACAGAGACTGAATATCGGGAGATGCGGGAGTGAAGAGTACCCAAGGTAATTTGTAATTGGACTGTGGAACTGCACCATTCCAACCTTTCCACAGTCCAAATTAAAGTTCTAATTAGTCCATCAGTTTTCATAAAAGGTGTAGTGTAGCCTGGGAGTGATAGCTCAGGCCTTTAATCCCAGCATTTGTGAGATAGAGGCAAATCAATAATTGAATTTAAGGCCAGCCTTGTCTACATAGCAAGTTCTAGGCCAGCCAGGGCTACAAGGAGAGACCTTGACAGGAAAAAAAAAAAAAAAAAAAAAAGCTGCAAACGGTGCTAGTTGTTTCATTTCTGAGAATATCATATACTGTTTTTACTTCTCCTCCCTCTTCCTTGGACTACTCCCATGTCTCCTCCACTCTCTAATTGATGACTGCTTCTATAATTGCTACTGATATATCTTTCATAAACTTACATTGCTCGTGTGTGTGTGTGTGTGTGTGTGTGTGTGTGTGTGTGCGTGTGTGCATGTGTGCGTGTGTGGGTGCATGCATGTATTTAATGATGAGCACTTGGGGTTGGATAACTAACTTACTGAGGGACTCATCTTGAAGAAAACTGAGTCTCCTTTGATGAGCAGCCACTCATTGCCCGTGGCTCTTTAGGAGTGGGGCCTTGCTAAATTTCTCCCATATACTTGGGCATTTCAGCTGATACTGTCATTATGCAAGTCTTGCTTAGGGAACCATAGTGCACAGGTTTCATGGGTGCAGCTTCCCCATCATGTCTAGAAGATTCTTGTCGAAAATAATCTGGTCCTCTGGCTCTGGAAGTTTTTCCTTCCCCTCTTCTGTGATGCATCCTGAACAGTAGGAATAGGGTGGCGTTTTAGATGTAGCGATTGGGTCTGGGTACTCCCTGGTTACTTATTCTCTGCATTAGGCCAGTTGACTAAAGTTAAAGCAATGATACAGTCTAATAAGATGAACGTGTGTGTTTTGCTAACACAACACAATTCAGATATATACTAATTGATCCTTAAGTACTGAAAAGATGGTAGGAAAACTTCTTTGTTTTTTAAGACAGGGTTTCTCTGTGTAGCCCTGGCTGTCCTGGAACTCATTATGTAGACCAGGCTGGTCTTAAACTCACAGAGATTCACCTGCAGCATGAAAACATTTAAAGTTTTTTCTCCATAACTGAGCTATTTTTTTTTTTTTTTGTGAACAGTACAATAAAACATGGCAGTTCACAACAAACAGCTGGGCGTGGTGTGCTCTTGATATCTTGTGCTCAGAATCCATTCACATGGGATGACAGATTTAGTGCATAACATGTCTTTTTCCTAAGTTTCTTCTTCAGAGAGTCAAAGCATGCGGCAAAAGGTGTTATGTTGCATGTTTACTACTCCTGATGCAATATGGGGAATGCTGCCCCAAACACATTAGAATCATGGCATATTTGGTGCTGGACTAATTTTTGGTTGTGTTTTCAGAAACTGTTTAAGTATTGCCAGACTTTTTATTTGGCAATACTTGGCCTCTACATTCTGTTTTGTTTTGTTTTGTTTTGTTTTGTTTTGTTTCCTGAGACAGGGTTTCTCTGTGGCTTTGAAGGCTGTATTGGAACTAGCTCTTGTAGACCAAGCTGGTCTCGAACTCACAGTGATCCACCTGCCTCTGCCTCCCGGGTGCTGGGATTAAAGGCATGTGCCACCAATGCCCGGCGGCCTCTACATTCTTATGTGACCTTATATGGAGTTATAATTCACATTTAAAGAAATGTCTTTTGGATTTAGTTATTCTACATGTTTTGATCCACATATGTACCTGTGCCACATTCATGCCTGGCGGCTGGAGAAGTCGGAATAGGGTGTTGGATCACTTGGGCCAGATGCTACAGGTGGTTGTGAGCCATGGTGTGACAAAACCAGGGACTTCTGAAAGCAAAAGAAGTGCCCCTAACCTCTGTGTCGTCTCTTCAGCCCCAGTAATCCATTTCAACAGCCGTGCAACTTGGGGCATAGATTTTATTAAAATACTGTGCCACCAGCCTGAAATTTTGCATTTTCATTGAGGTTCTTGCTTTTCCAGATTTGGTACTATTTTTATGTGGCTGGAGGTACACATGTCTTCCCCTTGCTCTTTATAGCACAATTATCACACACATATGTTATTCCTTGGATTTTGTCTCCATTTTAAGTTCATGGAAAGTCTACAATCCTATTTTCTTGAATCACTGTACTAACACAGAAGATATTTATATTGATTTTTCTTTCCCCAAAAACAGACCATGTGTTTTGTTTTGTTTTGTTTTGTTTTGTTTTGTTTTGTTTTGTTTTTTTTTGTTTTGTTTTTTATGGTCACTGTGACATAAGCTATACACATCTGGGAAAGGGCATCTCGATTGGGAAAATGCCTCAATCAGGTTGTCCTGGAGGTAAGTCTTTGACTGATGATTGGTGTAGGAAGGTCCAGCCTGTTGTGGGTAGAGCTACTGTTGGACAATTGGTCAGGATTGTATAAAAAAATTCAAACTAAGCAAGTCATAGAGGCCAATAACCAGAGCTCTCTACTCCAGTGTCTGTCATGTGTCCCAGCCTTGGCTTCCCTGGAGGGTGGACTGTCACTTGAAAGCCAAACAAGCTCTTTCCTCCCCAGGTTGTTTTTTTGTTTGTTTGTTTGTTTTGTTTTTTTGTTGCTGTTGTTTTGTTTTCTTACAGTAATAGAGAAGCTAACTAAGCCAGAATACAAATAGAGCTGCACCTTCTGTAAGATGCTGTTTAAGTGTATGTCACAGTGAAGACTGGGGTGTCATTTTCTGTTCCCAAGGCTTAATGGTGCCAGGGTCAAAAAGAGATGTGTCATTACAGGGATCGGTGTCATTTGAGGATGTGGCTGTGGACTTCACGTGGCGGGAGTGGCAGGAGCTGGATGCTTCCCAGAGGACCCTCTACAGGGATGTGATGCTGGAGACCTACAGCAGCCTGGTGTTTGTGGGTGAGTCCAGCCCTCTGTAAGTCCACCAGCAACTCCCTTCTGCCCGGTTGATAAGTAAATTAGTTGATGGCTAACTGTTGGTAGTAACTGATAGACATTGAGAAGACACACTCCCATGCATATTTATGTAGGACAGTGTGTCTTTGCTATGTACTTACAGATGTGTAATGATCAGATGATGGTACCTGGTGAATCTGTCAGCTCAGATAATCTTTGTGGATTATTTAAAATTTCTCTGACAGCTATTATCAAATAGGTAATTTGCCAACTATAAATTCACTGCTGTTCTGCTGAACATTACAAGTTTCTCATTCCTGCCAAATGCACCCCAGTGGCTAGACACATCTTTTTTTCTGTGTCTTTGTCCTCTATCTTTTCCATGCTTTAATAACCAGTACTTTACAGCTTTGAGGTAAATTATAGCTTGCAAGAATGATGGGAACATGCCAAGCTCTGTTTCTGTCACATTTTACTTGTATCTTCTGATATTGCTACCCTTTTCTCTGGGCTTTCATCTTTCAGTGTTTTATATTCCTTTCTTTTCTTCTTACTTCATGGCTGGTTGTGTAGCTGGGAGGCTGGTCCCTGGCATCCTCTTCTCCTTCTCCTGCTCTCACTCTTCCCTCCTCTGTCTTCCTCAGCCTAGATTTCTCCTCCAATTTATTCTGTCTGTCTGCCAGCCCCACCCATCCCTCTCCTGCCTAACTATTGGCCATTCAGCTCTTTATTAGACCAATCAGGTGTTTAGACATGCAAAGTAACAAAGCTTTACAGAGTTAAACAAATGCAACATAAAGTATGTAACACATCTTTGCATCATTAAACAAATATTCCACAGCATAAATGAATGTAACACATCTTCAACTAACATTTCCCCCTTTTATCTAAATAAAAATGAAAAGTTTTAACTTTAACATAGTAAAACTATACACAACAAAACAGTAATCAAGTAAGAATTACATTTACAATATTCAGTCCATTTGTATTTAGCAAATTCAGAAAAATACTACATTATCTTATCTTAGTGATTCAAAAGTTTTATACCTAATTTACTTTCTATCATAACTAAGGGACAATTAAATCTTACTATTTAGTCTTTAACTCAATCAAAGACTCCAGAAGGATGTAATATTACCTAACAACAGAGATATCTGGCTGCCTGCACAGTAACATAAAGTTCCTCTGCAACTTTGGGGCATCCATCTTCGCATATAGGCCCAAAATATCTGGCAGACTCTTCTGTGAAGCAGGAATCTCGAAGGACTGTCCTGCCTTGTCTTGGCAATGTACAGCAGTCACTTTCTGTCTGTCCAGTCTACACAGCACACTGTCAGTAGTCAAGGCAAGAACAGTTTCTTGCCCAAATGGCTAGCCTTGCCACATTGAAATCAAACTCCAAATGGAGTTTCTTCAAAGCCCATCATCCTTTTATGAGCAATTAGTGCTGCCAGGAGCAAATGTGTCTCATTTCCATGAAAAACCTTTGGTTATTAAACATCTTAACTCCTGTATTCTCTAGGTCTTTGAAGTGTTTGAAAATCTGTCTAAAGCATACCTGTTTAACCTTGAAAGCATACCTAATATGACTACAAGATTGACTATTATAGATTAACTACTAACCTCATTTCTTAATTATACTTTGCATTTTAAAATGAACTGCATAAGCACAATCCCCCAAGCAAAAGTAGAAACCTATATACAGTGTAACAAAAATAACTTTAAATTTGTATCCACATACCAAAATCCATGCCAATACAAAATATCTGAAATTAATAGTTGTTTTTTTTTATCCTATATTCCCATATTCCTCTAAATGATAAATATCCATAACCCACCAAAACCCACCCACACGCCAACTCTTGGGAATGTGGGTGTGGTTTTCTCTAGACTGCTTCCTGTTGTCTGTGGGCAAAGGCATCTTTAGGGGAACCTGAGAAAATTGAGATAATGACCAAGTCCTGGGAAGACCAGCTGTCATCTGTCAAGATTCAGGTCTCCCTCAATCAAACCTGATCCATATCAACCCTGAAGGAATCCACAGCCTCTCATTTCCCGTGGAAATAAAAGCAGAACGTCTTCTCCAAAGCAATGCATTTTTTGAGTTCCATTTTAAAGCTAAGGCATTCTTAAAACATATAGGGTGGTTTGTTTTAGCATTCCAGTCCACAATCCCATGTGTGTCAGCGCCGTCATTTACTTACCAGCAATCAAAAATTCAAGGTCAGGAGCCGGACGGTGGTGGTGCACACCTTTACAGCATTCAGGAGGCAGAGGCAGGTGGATCTCTGTGAGTTCCAAACCAACCTGGTCTACAAGAGCTAGTTCCAGGACAGCCTCCAAAAGCCACAGAGAAACCCTGTCTTGAAAAAAAAAAAAAAAAAAAAATTCAAGGTCAAGGTCAGTACAGCAACATACATGATCCAGACTCCCTGTGTATCTCCCATCTCTCTGTGCCTTATTCTTTTTTATTACTTCTCTCTTTAAATACTACTATATTATTTTAACCTATTTTTTTCTGTAACTGTCTATACCTTTTCTCTTTTCTTTCTTATACCTACATACATTTTTAAACACACTGACCTGCTTAGAGGGTTTTTTTTTCTGTTTGAATCTGTCTTTACTGTATATCTCTCATCTGTTTTGACTGCATGAGCCTCTAAACTGCTAAGCATTGCAGCTAGGACCTCCACCACGGCCTTGGTGGCTGGTTCCACCCACTTCTTGGGTCATGAAAGCAAGCTTAAGCTTGTAGCCTTGGGCTGGAGAGATGGCTCAGAGGTTAAGAGCACCAACTACTCTTCCAGAGGTCCTGAGTTCAATTCCCAGCAACCACATGATGGCTCACAACCATCCGTTATGAGATCCGGTGCCCTCTTCTGGTGTGCAGATATACATGGAAGCAGAATGTTGTATACATAATAAATAAGTAAAATCTTAAAAAAAAGAAAAAAAAGCTTGTAGCCTTGTTTGAGGTGTGTGATTGGGAACTGCATTCATTTGCCTACGTCTGGAATGCCAGTGCCCTGCATTGTGGCAGGAATTTTTTACTTACTTTTCATGTCTACTTAGCATACAAAAGGTTGTTTAAATGCTCTGCTGTGTGGCAGAGAGTCTTCAAAGAGCTGTGTCTTTTTTCTCCCCAGCTTTCTCAGGCCCTACATGGAAACATGGGCCCATGCCGGAACACCAAAATGTAGTTGGCTTTTATTACTCTTTACTCTTTTGGGGGTTCTGCCACCCAGCTCTAAGTAAATCACACATGGAAGGTTATTCTTAGTTATGAATGCCTGGCCATAGCTTGGCTTGTTTCTAGCCAGCTTTTCTTCACTTAAATTATCCCATCTATCTTTGACCTCATGGCTTTTATCTTCCTCTTTTCCTGTATACCCTTTCTTTCCTTCTTTCTCTGTGTCTGGTTGTGTGGCTGGGTAGCTGGTCCCTGGCATCCTCCTCTCCTTCTCTCATTCCTCCCTCTTCTGTCTCCCCAGTCTGGATTTCTCCTCTTTATCCCCTCTGCCTGCCAACCTCACCTGTCCTTTTACCTGCCTAGCTATTGACCATTCAGATCTTTATTAGACCAATCAGGTGTTTATACATGCACTGTATAACAGCGTCACACAATTAAACAAATGCAACATAAAAGAACACAACACATTTTTGCATCATTAAACAAATATTCTAAATGAATATAACACATCTTAAATAATATTCCACATTAAGATTGCCCTTTCAACTTCATCTTTTTGTCTCTTCTTGTCATCTGCTTATTAAAATTTTAAAAATTATGTTGCATAGTTTATTGTGTATTAATGCCACTTGAGGGTAATATTCCAGACAGTGAAAAACATGAGTGTGAAGCTAACAAATTCAAATGCACCTGCCATTGCCCAAATCAAAATTGGGGTTGAGGTCTTTCTTCAGTGGACTTGATAGCACTTTACCATGGTTTCTATGTGATCCCCCATTTACAGGGCACTGCACAACTAAACCCGAGTTAATCTTCAAGTTGGAGCAGGGATTTGGGCCTTGGAGTAAAGCAGAAGCCTCAGTCTGGAACGTTCGAGGTCTGTGAGTGTATCCTGGGCAAAGGAGGTAAACCAGAATAGAGATGGCCGGCTCTTGGTCATAGTAAGCCCTGAAGACAGCTGGTCATATGATCCAGGCACATGACTTTTGCAGTCCTTAGAGAGGTCTCCCTGTCAAGCCACTTTGCTAGTTTTGTTGATATAATTACCCCATTTATATGGGGGGTAATTTGTTGTTGTTTTTGTTTGATTGGTTGGTTGGTTTTTCAAAACAGGGTTTCACTGTGTAATAGCCCTAGCTGTCCTGGATCTTACTCTGTAGACCAGGCTGACCTTAAACTAAGAGAGGTCTCCCTGCCTCTGCCTCCTAAGTGCTGGGATTAAAGGTGTGCACTATATAGATAAATGTGACAAAAATCTCATCCCTGTATATATGTTAGGCAAATTTTGTTGTGTTTAAGCAATTTCCAGTTGTGCTTCCTCCTTGTTTTCATAATAGGTTTTCTTTTTATTGTTAACAAAGTAGATTTTTATTACATGTTTGTTTACATATTTATTCAACACTTGGATTTTGTTCACCTGATAAGCAGTGGTTCTGACCATTGGATCAAGCAGTGTGGTTTTCTCTTGTCTATAATAGCAGACTGGCCTTGGAGAAGAAATTGGTTGCATTTAACCACATCTCTTGAAATTCTAAAAGCAGAATCCTGTACGCTAGGAAACTGAAAAGAAATCATCATAAATCAGAGAGGCTGTGGACACTGACAGTTCCTAGGTAGAGGGTTGTTTTTGTTTTTGTTTGTTTCCTTTTTTACAAGAGCAGGCATGGAAACTGAAAGTGCAGATGCACTGAGAAAAAAATGTTCAAGATGCTTGAGATGTGTAAGGCTTGGCAAGGCTCACTGTGGACAACTGAGTGTGATACCCAGATCATCCTTAACTTCTCTTCCAACTCGAGCTGGGCATTGGTGGTGCATGCCCTAAACCCAGCACTCAGCACTCAGGAGGCAGAGCCAGGCGGATCTCTGTGAGTTCAAGGCCAGCCTGTTCTCTAGATCGAGTGCCAGGATAGGCTCCAAAGCTACACAGAGAAACCCTGTCTCCGGGGAAAAAAAAAAAAAAAAAAAAAAAAAACTTCTCTTCCATCTCATCCATTAAGGTCTCTTGCCAGATCCCCCTAGGGTTCTCTTATCTCTAGAATTACCATTGTTTAATCTAGCCTGCCTGGATTATGGGGATCTGAGCTCCAGTTTTCATGAATGCATGGCCAGCACTTAATTAAGTCACTGAGCCACTTACTCAGCCAGAGTCACACTAATTTATTGAAGAATAAATTGTCAGCCAGGCAGTGGGGTGCACACCTTTAAGCCCAGCAATTGGGAAGTAGAAGCAGGTGATCTCTGTGAGTTCCGGGAATTCCATGACAGCCAGGGCTACACAGAAAGACACTGTCTCAAAACAAATAAATAAAAGAATAAATTGTCCCATCCAATGTTGTCATAAAATATACATGAAGAAACTAAGACATCATGTGTTAAAATTAATAAATAATATGGTTATTTGTGGATAATGTTTTTTTAAATATTATTTTAGGTGTTAAAAAAGCATGTGTCCCGATTGAGACCATCCAGGAAAATGAAGAAAGACATTGTTGTGAAGTGAAAACCACCAGCAGCAGTATATCAAATGAAGAGGTGGCTGAAGTAAGTAAAAATTTTAATGTGGACTCAGACTACTTGTAAACTGAACAAGAACAGTGGAACTGTTTGGGGAGGTTTCCTTTTAATTTCTCTCATGTCAAAATACACTACTTCTCCATACTGAGTCCTAAACCACGCAGGCTGGAGAAGAACCCAGTGATGAAACTGAGAAACTCCTCCCATATTCTATACATCTTAGTCCCTGTAACAAGAATAAAAGAGTGTCCTGCCATATTCAATAAATTCAACTAGGATCTTTCTATACAAAGGTAATATTCAATAAAGTAACTTCATATTCAAGGGACCTAGTTATTTCAAGGAATTTTTTGAATCCTTTGTTAAATAGCACTTATTGCTCAAAACACTGTTAAATTAAGGATGAAACTTATTGGATGAAAAATCAGCGAATAATAAAGTACACAGATGAGAAATTCATGAGGCTACATGAGAAAAAAAATCACACCTTACAAGACATTAGGAAGCCATGTTAGGACAATGTGTACAATGAATAAAACAAATTCTTCTTTCCTAAGGCACAATTAAAGGTTCAGTGGAAAATTCAGCAAGGAGCAAAATCCAATTCATGTGTGGAAACATACTGCCAAAGGCCACAGCACAAGAAGCGTCACACATGTGGGAAACACTGTGAATATAGGGACTGCTGTGGAGCTGTCCATGATAAGTCAACACTCACAGAACACCAGAGAACTGAAACTAAAGAGAAGACCTACGAGTGTAAACAATGCAGGAAAGGTTTCTACCACAAGTCACATCTCTTTCGACATCAGAGAACTCACACCGGAGAGAAGCCCTATGGGTGTGAAGAGTGCCCAAAAGCCTTCTACCACAAGTGCCATCTCATCCAACACCAGAGAACTCACACCGGAGAGAAGCCCTATGGGTGTGAAGAATGCAAGAAAACCTTCCGCCGGAAGTGGCTTCTAACTTTACATCAGAGAACTCACACAGGAGAGAAGCCTTATGGATGTAAAGAATGTAAGAAAGCTTTCTTTTACAAGTCCCACCTCACTCGACATCAGAGAACGCATACGGGTGAGAAGCCCTATGAATGTGATGAGTGTAAGAAAGCTTTTTGGCAGAAATCAAACCTTACTGCACACAAGAGAATTCATACCGGTGAGAAGCCCTATGAATGTAAAGTGTGCATGAATGCTTTCTACAACAAGTCAAACCTCACTTTACATCAGCGAACTCACACAGGTGAGAAGCCCTATCAGTGTAAAGAATGCCTGAAAGCTTTCTACAGCAAGTCAAAACTCAGTCGACATCAGGCAACTCATGCAGGTAAGGTCCTTTTTAGTGTCAACAATGCAGAAAGCTTCTCGATGGAAGTAATTTCTCTCTCACAATCAGATTTCATTCAAGTTAGGGTTAGGGTTAGGGTTAGGGTTAGGGTTAGGGTTAGGGTTAGGTTAGGGTTAGGGTTAGGGTTAGGGTTAGGGTTAGGGTTAGTAACATACAGAAAGTTTGTAGTTTCAATTGGCCTCCTTTGTACCTCACTGAAATCAGGTAGGTAAAGTCTGAGAACATAAAGAATGCGTGAAATGTTTCTTTTCTACCTCCGGCCTCTCTCTACAAGAGTGCCTCATCTGGGAAACCCTAGGTAATGCATGAAATATACTGTTAGTCCTTACTTAGCCGGGCGTTGGTGGCGCACGCCTCAAACTCAGCACTCGGGAGGCAGAGGCAGGGGGATCTATGTGAGTTCGAGGCCAGTCTGGTCTCTAGAGCGAATGCCAGGATAGGCGCCAAAGCTACACAGAGAAACCCTGTCTCGAAAACAAACAAACAAACAAACAAACAACAACAAAAAACTGTTAGTCCTTACTAACAGTTCTCTGGTCAGAGTTCTCTGATCAGGTTCTCTGATCGGAGAATACATGCTGGTGAGGCTGACGAATGTAAAGAATGTTTGAAAGTGTTCTTCCACAGGTCAGGTCTTAACTCTAGGGAACACATACTGGTGCAACATACCAGGACTGTACAAATATAGGAAGGATTTCTACCCAAATGGCTTCTTTCTGCATAAGCAGCTCATACATGTGAAATAGCATATGAATTTAAGGACTGTGAGAAAGGTTGTATAACATGGGGAAGGGCCTAGGCCTGGCCCAGGATGATGTGGTAGACTTTGGGAAGCCCCTTTTGAGGGTTGTAGGAGAGGAGGGGAGGGAGACGGAACTGGGATTGACATGTAAAACAATCTTGTTTCTAATTCAAATAAAAAAATCTGCAAAAAAAGAAAAAAAAGGTTGTATAATTAGTGAAGCCTCAGTTAACTTTAAGATATACAAGGAGGCTAGTAACCCTATAAATTTGATGACTGTGAGAAGGTTTTCTAACATGAAACACTGTCACAGCCATTAAAAACTCATACAGTTAGGGGATTCACTAAGTAAAAACCAGAAAACACCCAGAAGAAGAATTTGGGCGTACACATGGAGTATATACAGGAGTGAGAGTAAGTGGATAGCAGATAGTTTACCCAGTTCAGACATGGTTACTTGCTTTTCACCTTATGCTGTTTTGAGTGCTGTTGGTTGGCACTGTTCACTGTCGTGTGGAGCTCTAAAGCCAGTCTGAGCATCAGAGCACAGGGCTGATTCAGAATTCTGAGGTCAGTGGTTGATGAGAAGCCTCCAATTCCCAGGTGGTGGTGGGATCTTGCATTCCAGGAAATGGCCATGTGAACTTTAGAACTTGTGTGAGGTGGGGGAGGAGAGGCCTTTATTTAATGTTTATGCACCACTCCGCTTGTTAGTTTCCAATAGCTTGTAGACCATAGTCTTGGTCCTGTATGTAGAATCAGCTGTGAGGATGGAGAAAAATACAGTTGTATATGAGAATGACCTCTACAGTATCTGGTCTAGATTCTAACAAATGTGTCTAATCTGTTACTCATCTGTCAGCATAAAATAACAAAAGTGGTAAAGTACAGGTTTCTGATGTGAAAAAATATGCTTCAAATTTACCTAACTGCACCAGAATTTGTATTAGTTATTCTATAAATATAAAGATTTTAGAACAGGCATTTAGCAACACATATATTAGCAAGTACCAAATCACTTATTAAAGTGAAGAGTCATGGCCTTTGAGTTGACTCATGAGGTAAAGGTGCTTGCTGTCAAGATTGACAACTTAAATTCATCCCCTGGACCCATGCGACAGAAGATAAGCAACTCATAAGTTGCTTTTCAACCTCTACATGCACACAGTAGTACATGCGTGCTCACATACCTGTGCATACACTACATAAATCAAAATGAAAACAGTAAAGAAAACGCATTTGAAATGACCGAATTTATAATTCGCTGGACATGTACTCAGTTAAAGTTTACTTACCAAGTTTGTGTTGTTTGTCTCTTTTGTATTAAAGTTTCCATGCCAGTGATGCCCAGTGTGGTTAAGACATTTGCTACCAAGGTTGACCACCTGAGTTCAATCCCCAGAACCCATGTGGTGTAAGAACTACTTCTCCACATGTACAGCATAGTATGGGCATGCATGAAGCACACATTGGCAAACGCACACTATATAAATTTTTTAAATTTTTTAAGTTTCCTACATGTCACTTTTTGTTGTTGAACATTTATATATGATATTCAATTGTAGATATAAGCAATCATGCAAGAAATTGCATCAAATTTAGAATGTATCATTGGAAAATTTCAGTCCTCCCCCCCCCCCAAAATCCACCACTGGTGGTGGTGCATGCCTTTAGCTCCAGCACTCAGGAGGCAGAGGCAGGCGGATCGCTCAGTTCAAGGTCAGCCTGGTCTACAAAGTGAGTTCCAAGACAGCCAGGGCTACACAGAGAAACCCTGTCTCGAAAAAACCAAAAACAACAACAACAACAACAAAAAATGTAGTGGTTTATTTTTAATTAAGGTATCTATCTAAAGCTCCACTGTTTTTTGTACTTATATTGTAATCAAAGCTATTCTAATATCTGTGTTGCTTCTCCTCTGTTGAGACCTGTCAGTGCCCATGCAATTCAAGAGTAACCGGAACCAGGGAACTCAAAGCTAAGCCGCTCAAGAGCACCCTTCCTGACATTCTATGGTGCTTTTATTCTGGATAGCTCACAGTTCAAAGCAGGAATGGAGAAACAATAAAAAAAAATAAAAAATAAAAAATAAAAAAAAACATAGATAGTATTTCTCATCACTATCACCGATGTGTTCAGGTCTCTTGGCCAAATGAAGGCTGTTTGTTTAATGCTCTTGAATGCTCTAAGCTACATTGCTAAGATGTTGGGGGAGTCTTGTCCAAGGCAGGCAGGTCCACTCCTCCAAGGAGAGTAAACAAGCATGAATATCTTATTATTTTCGGTCTACTTGCTACCCCTTTCCTATGATCTCATTAAGAGTAGTGTAAAGTTTCTGTCGATAAGTAAGATGATATGTGGAGTTCAGGAAGCATTGAAAATGCAGGTTAAATTAAACCAAAGCTGTAATAGCTGCCAGTGCTCCCTGAAAGGAAAGGAGCCAAGGGAGTCAATGAGGCTGGCTCCACCACTTTTGATCTCTCAAAAGTTGACCCAGCTTTTGTGGGACCAAGTAAGAATCACCTATAATATTGAAGAACACATACCAGGAGACGTTCACAACCAGTATCTTTTAGCAGTAAAACTTTAATGGCAGCTCAGGTTTTGCAAAACTGCTGTTCAAAGTCCCTTCATTTCTACATTTAATTCTCCAAAGACTGTAGCCATGACATTGACAGTTTTGCTGAAGATACAAACCAGTTGGGAGATTTCATGCTGAAGATGCTATCGGTCCCAGTGCTGGAAGCAGAAAAGAAGCCACAACTGCAATCTGCTTTATCCTTAATGACTGCAGTTTGTTACAGCAAGATGATGCCAAACTTCTAGTAGCTCTGGGTGTGTTATCTAGAAAGGCAAGAGTGCAGGACTTCTGCTGGTGGGACAGTATCCCAAGAGACTGGCTAGCAATGTCTGAAAGGCTAGTTGATTACATAAACATTCCCTTTTAGAAGGCAAAGCTTTACCTAAAAGTAAAGACATATTTCTTTCCACAGTATAGTTAGGGGTTCATAGTTAGTATTAGAACATTCAGTACATAAGCAATGAGGAACCCACATCACAAACACAATGGGTGAGGCTGGGTTACATGTCATAACTGAATCACTCTGTGTAGTGGCATTGTCATATATGCCTGGAAATGAAAGAACTGTCATGCTCAAAACCATGTTTCTTATGATGTTAGCTGTCATTCATGTTTATACTATACAAGGGAGTTGTCTACCATCTGTCTCTATTAAGAGTTAAGTTGTCATTCACCTAGTGACATTAACATAGTCATCATAGTCATTGCTGACAATCCAACCAGATTCTTTAAAGTAGACGATGAACAGATTATCCCTCATGAACACAAAATGAGGTTTTGTTCATGGCATCTATAGCCAGTTTGACCCAAAAATGTTGATTAGGTGTAAGTGGATCCAAGTAAGTCTCCTTTTAAAGTTACATTAGCATTAAAAGTATCTGATTGCTCTCCTTAAGTTTTGCACAAGTATAATTTCCTGTATATTGGGTAGATTTCTTATCAATTATTGAGCCAGAAAATAATATCAAAGAGTTCAAGCTGTTTTCACTTTGCCTAATAATAACCATTTCTAAAAGTGGTAATGGAACTGTAAAATATCAAAAATCACAGAATTAAGTGGGGTGAAAGCATCCCTTAGCAATATCTCTACAGAATACAGCTCACTTTGTTGTATTGAAGAAAAGGCAGTTTGTAAAATCTCTAAGGTTCATCATAGGCTGCCCTTCTGTGACTGGTACCCTCAGTGAAGTAGGTAGAACCTCCCCAAGGGGGTGAAGTGTGAAAGACTTTGGGAACTATTCAAACAGTAGATTTAAAAAGGAAAAATAGTTTTTTTAAAAGATTTATTTATTTATTATGTGTACAGTGTTTGGCATCAAATCTCATTACAGATGGTTGTGAGCCACCATGTGGTTGCCAGGAATTGAACTCAGGACCTTTGGAAGAGCAGGCAGTGCTCTTAATCGCTGAAACATCTCTCCAGCCCAAAAGGAGAAATAGTTTGCTTTAGGCTTTAACTTTGAAAACATATATAAAGAGGGAGATACAAATTGGTCTCTTCTTCTAATCTTGTCTCTGTAATTGAATTAAATTTGTATTTAACATGACTATAAACAATTCTGGGCCCATTAAAAACACTTGGTGATTTATGAAGTGATCATTAACTTTTATATTTGAATGATCTGTCTTAAAAGTTTGAATTAGTAACTCTTGTAA